ACCACATCCTCAACGTCCTCCGTGAACTCCCCTGTGAATGCCCCGGTTGCCGGCGTCACGGTTCATCTGCAAATCCTCAACCACGTTGTTGATCGTAAGACGCACTTCTTCGATCCTTGTCAAAAGATCCTCAACCCGACGATCCAATTGATTGATCTGAAGGCGGAATTCCGTGGTTGGTCGGCCCAAATATTCAATGGTGGCGTCACGCCCGTCAATGTCGTCCTTCTGCGGCGGCATCTTGAATTGTACTGACTTATGATACCAACTGATGTAGAGAAGCGTACGAGTGAGATGATATTAATGAGATCGCAATCTCAAGAACACCAAAACAATATATCAATTCATATTTTTATTCAAATGAACCACCTCAAAGGGTTATGGTGACCAGTGATCTAGTCCATTGATCCAACCCCGGGAATAATAGATGGGGATTCTTTAAATAAGGCTCTTATAAACCTTACTCCTTAAGTCCACCAACACCAAAATAAGATAATAAAAAAATTAATAATAATAATAATAATAATAATAATAATAATAATAATAATAATATTCTACACCATAAACTATAAGTTATCTTATCAACTATTAGTTAGTTTTACCAAACATATCCTGAATTATACTAATCTCATCCAAACGAGAGAAGGAACATTCTATTTGTATGTCATTTCATCATAACAATTGTAGTTAGTTTCTCCACTTTGAATAGAAATATATTATAACTTTGGCCAAGCAAGACCATGAAGTGAGTTCAAAAGCTGCAGGTCTTCAAATCAATGGGAATTGAGAAGAAATTTTTTTATCATCTATGATTTATTATAAGCAGATATACAAAGGAAACAAATTGATTTACAAGTCCTTTGTGTGGTAGATTTGTGATGCTGAGTTACAGAGTGGATTAAATTTTGTGTGATTCAATTTATTTTTAATGTGCATATACTATCCAACAAATTAAAATATGCATGCATTTTTGTAACTAGCTAGAATTGTGACCCACTTAAAAGTTACCCCGTCTCATACAAGAATTTGTGTTTTTAATGCGAAATGGTGTGATTTGCTAATATATGTTGGTTGTAAATAAGATCCCTACACTACAAGAAAGCACTTCAATTCCAACAAAAAATTCCAACGGCAAAAATTTCTGTTGGAAATTCCAATGAATATTCCAACAAACTTAATTTTATGTTGGAATAAGTGTTGGATGGTTGAGGAATTCCAACGGATTTTTTCCGTTGGAATAGTTGTAGGAACTTATTTCCATTGGATTTTCCGTTGGATTTTAGCTATTCCAACGGCCGTTTCCTACAAATTTTTATACGTAGGAATATCCGTTGGAATAGCTATTCCAACGGAAAAAATAAAGAATTCCAACGGAAATTTTCCGTTGGAATGTAAGAGTTTTTGTAGTAGTGCTATGCACAAACACAACAATTTCTCATAAAGAAAAATACTTTGAAATATCTCATATAATAATATCTAATAATTACACTCACTCTCACTAGGCCATCTCAAATACAGCAACAATTGTGCTGCAAAATGGGGCTCCAAAGAACTACAAAAATTCCTAACAAATGAATCAAAAATTCACAAGCTCAACTCAATCCTAAGAAAAAAAAAAATCTAGAAAATCTAGTGAGATCCTCCGGTGATTGAAATCTTGGCCGGCGAATCTTTAGACGACACGGACGGCAGCACCGTGAGCGCCAAAACTGCACTAATGGCGGCAGCCACCGCTCCCATCACGAATGCCGGTAGGTTTCCGCCACCAAATGCCTCATCCAATGGCCCACTCGACACGGAAACTATCATCTATTCGTGCACCGAAAAAAAATAAGAAAACAAAATTATCCATTTTCATTCGATTATTTGGTGCAAGTAAGAACAAATTCGACATTCTACAAACTTAATAAAAACATTACCTGCGGTATGACGATTGCAAGATTCAAAAGTCCGAGAGACAAACCTGACAATATAGTTCCGATTTCGTATAAAAAACTTGGAGTACTCAACAACAATATATATGTCGAACAGGAAAAACACTTTTTACATCGGTACTATTGACCCGGTTGATGTAACATATAACATCAATCGATATAACAAGTCTGGACTTATTTGAGTAACAACTTAATTAATTACCTTGTCCAGCACCATTGCCATTGGAGTATATGGATGCCAGAGCAAATGGAAGGCTAAATGTCACCTACACAAGATACACATACACATTCGAATTTATCGGAAAAAGGAACTATGCGGAACGATTCGTTTTAAATGAAAGAAAAACTCACCGATAGAGGAACACCAAGAACCGCGAAAATGGCCAACGACCCAGCCTTCACGCCCACCGGCGGGACCTCGAGGAACCCACCCGCGGCCTCCCGTGCGTGCTCTGCGAGCTTCGTCACCAAAACCGTCATCCCCAAGCACACGGCTAGCACAAAGTTGACCCCACCCCACATCTTCTTGACTCGACCGAGTCCACTCGCTAATGCTTGCACGCCTAGCGACGAAAAGCCCAAAACAACCGAGTTTAGCATCAATCCCAACGCGCCCGCGCGGACCCCACGGTCGTAAACCCTGTCGCCGACCTCGCCTCCGTATACCTCCCGGCCCATCCAATCGGTGTCGAAAAGGAGGAAAGGAAACCACGCGACCCAATTGAGGCAAGTGACGAGCATTAGTATCCACATTGGCCTCGGCAAATTCTTGAGGGCTCCGAGGATGTTGAACTTCTTGCCGTTGCCTCCTTCGGCGGTGGCTGCTGCCTCGTCGGTGGCCGCCTTGTTGGTGGCGGCGACATCGCGGACGAAGGTGAGGGAGATGATGGTGAGAGTCAATAGGAGGGCAGCCGAGATGATGAAGCAACTCTTGAGGTTGGCGCAATAGACGTTGCAAGCCGTGGTCTTGGAGAAGGGGAATATTTGGTGGAGTTTGGTGTAGGAGCCAGCCGCGTAGCCGAGCACGTTCCCGACGGCCATGAAGAAGGAGAAGAGTGCGTTACCGGTGCTTATTTTTTGTTCGTTTCCGTTAGATAGGTCGGCCAGCAAAGCCCTGCATGGCCCCTGCGGTAACCGGATACGACGGGCGTGAAATAAAAGCAGCGAGTCAATGCAAAAAAATATCGTATTTCAATGGAAAATCCAACAGTAAAATATTTCGATGAGAAACCCAACGAATATTTCTATAAGAAAATTGGAAATTTAATTCTAACATCGAATTGATAAATAGTTCCGTAGTTCCGTTGATTTTACTAAACACCTAGGAAAAAAAATTAATTTTTGGTTGTTCAATGTGACCGACTTGCTAAGTTGGATATTAGTTTTCATTTTTTTCTATTTTCGCTCGCACACACGGCAGCTGGTCAACTAACATATCCAATTCAGCAAATCGGTCAAATTGACCGTATTTTGCCGGTGGAAGGACTGAAATACACTGCTAGGTATGCGACCCGGGTCGTCCAACGAATAGTCGGAACATAGCTCCGGATACCGTAGTTAGCTACCAAAAAAAAAATGAGATTTTTTTTTTTCAATTACAGGGTGTTTAAAATCAACAGAGTTACCCGACTATTATTCCTTGACTATTATTCCTCCAAAATCTGGAAAATTCATTTTGACAAGATATTTTCGTTTGGAATCAATTAGGAAATTCCAACAAAAGTTATAACATTGGAATATTTATTAAAACTGTTGTTAGAATTCAATTGGATATATATTTTCGTTAGAAATTGCAATAATTAGTTAGATTGCAAATACGTCGCGACACGAGCAATTTGTAAACGAGTAGACGAAACTCCACCGTCTAACGACAAACGGCTGATATGATTAACCAAACTCTTTAATTACCTGCAACATGTTGTTCGCGACATCGAGCATCCAAAACCCGATCACGAAAATGAGGAGAGCCTTCGGCTTCGGAGTCTTCTCGAGCGAGTCGCCCAACGCATACCCCATATCGGCCGCAAAACCGATCAAGAAAACCGCCACCGTCACGAGGCACGCCCCAACAGCAATAAACGGCCGACGCTTCCCAATTTTGTCGCTGAAGTAGCCGACGATGGGCTGGACCAGTAGGCCTGATATCGGCCCACATAGCCAGATGATAGCGGCCCACTGGTGGGCCACGCCCAGAAGTTGAGTGTACGGCGTTAGGAGGGACAGCTGTAGGGCCCACCCGAACTGAACTCCGGCTGCTATAGACGCGACTAGGACCATTTTAGCCATCGAGCCGCCTTGACTTTGACCGACTTGAGATTCCGAGCTAGCCATGATTATTTTATTTATTTTTTTCCGCGCTAAAAAAAGAAAATCGATTAAAGAAAATCAGTTTATTTTGTGCACAATGTACAACTTTTTTTTTTTTTTAGTTTTGTTAGTTTAAATTTTTTCCAGATTGTAACTAAAATGTACACTGGTTACAATCTGGAAAAGGCAGAGTGAGTGAATTTTTTGGTAGTGAATTGGAAGGGGAAAAGGGATAGTTTATATAGTGTTAATTTAGACCAAATCCGTGTTGTAAGGATCATACACTAGAAAATTAGTAAGAATGGGCACTTGCGTTTTTTTTGCTTTTTCCACAAAAAAAAAAATTGAAGAAAATAAGAATATAAATTGTATATAAATATTTGAGGATGTACTATTTTGATAATGAATATTGGCCGTGTGTGTAATAAATTCATTTTTTTTTTCCTTGAAGTCAAGGATTTTCATTTTTTAATACCCATATTTTTTGAAATTAATTTAAGAAAGACTAGAATGAGTCACGTGCAGTGTACGGGTAAGAGATATCACTAATATTTATATATTAAAAATTCTTATTAAGTAATATTTATAAACTAAAAATATGGAATCACTATGTAATATAATTACATATTCTAATTTATTGAAAATGTTATATAAAATTTAAATTGTACAAAATTACATAAAAACGTCTATTTACAATTAGTACACAACCCGCGTGGTGCACACAATTGATAATAAACCACATTATATTCGTTTCAAAAATTTTATTTAGAAATTCGATTTGACTATAATGTGGTTCTATAAAATAGTTACTATTTTAGTAAAATGTTATCATATATTTAACAACATATGAGAATAATAAGTATAAATATAAAATTTATATCGCTTCATTACTTAAAATAATCTATTCAAATAAAAAAATTAAGTAGTTGAGTAATATATTAAACTATAAATAATTGACTATTTCAGTTACGTCCAAATTAATATTGACACGTAAGTTATTGAATAATTTATTATACTATGAAATTGACGGTTTCGTTTACGTCCAAGTTAATATTGACCCGCAAATTATGAATAATTAATTTTTAATTTTAATTTTAAGCAAAAATCTTTTTATTTTTTTTCAATATATTATATATCAAATTTAAATCATGCAACTGATGAAGGTAATAACTGCAAGTTTTGTCAATATATTATATTCAAAATTAAAATCATGCAACTAATAATAAAAGTAATAGCCTCAATATTTGTCCAAAATGATTTTGTACAATTTTAGATGGGATTGTTCAAATTTTGGCCAAAAATATTACTTAATACAATACTTACTTTAGGCGGGAACTCAAATGTTTCTTTTTTTTGACTGATTTTTAGTTACTATTTCTAGAAAATATTATTGTCTCTTTATATATTAATAGATTCGACATGCGCCGATATCAAGTTAATTCTGAGCCGTCAGATCAGATGAATACACACTCAAATGGTTTGTGTTGCTTCTGAGCCGTCAGATCAGATGAATGCACACTCAAATGGGTTTGTGTTGATGTAAGAACAACTAACAAGTGTACAAAAATATGATAAAATAAAATATATATTTTTTTTTCATGAAAACTTTATCCAAACCATATAAAGTTGTCGAAATTTAATTATAAAGTGGATGTGATTTTATGCATTTAGAATTATAGCAAAAGAACATATAATAAATCTTAACAAATTGAAATATTTTGCCATGAAAAGTTTATCCAAAGCAGATAAAGTAACTAAAATTCAGTTACAAAATGGATGAGATTTCATGCTTTCAGAATTAATGAATTATAGTAAAAGAATATGAATCTGATTAGATAAACTCTTGTCAATTATTAACTATATGTGGATTGACAAATATATATATATATAGAATTAATAAAAATAAGCATCATGCTTGAAATCTTGCCCGTTTATTATAATAAATTTCATATATTAAATAGTAAAGTACAATCCTCTAAAAGATAAAAAAATAAAAATATATATATATATAAATTTATATTATTATCAACTTAATATATTGTCACGAATAAAAGCTCGAGATTTTATTTTAAATAAGTTTATCAATATTTGGATTAAAAAGATAAAAGAAATTAGAAAATACTCATTCGCCTAAAAAAAAATTAAAAACAACGGTAATATAATGGCAAAGATTATTTGTAATTTGTGAAAAGGACAATGGATAATCGTGGAGTCAAAGTCAACAACCTTTGTGTGGTCAATCTTGAAATTCGTAAAGGCAAATTACCGTTACCTGAATTTTGTGATCCTAAAAATAAGCAATGGTTCAAAATACTATATAAACTCCTTCTCACACCAGCTGAATTCGGGAGCGATTTCGTATAGATATATATCATTGTGTAGACGAAAGAGCTATGACGGAGGTCGAAAACAGGTCGGGTGGGTCGACCCTACAAATTGTCCTAATCGCGTCCATAGCGGCCGGGCTACAATTCGGGTGGGCCCTCCAACTGTCACTTCTCACACCTTACACACAACTTCTTGGGGTGGCTCACCAATGGGCCTCGATAGTCTGGCTAACCGGGCCCATATCTGGCCTGCTCGTCCAACCCATTGTCGGCTACTTCAGCGACAAGCTAGGAAGGCGTGTCCCTTTCATAGCGTCCGGTGCTGCCCTTGTGGCAGTTGCGGTTGTCCTGATTGGGTACGCTGCCGATATGGGCCACAACTTGGGGGACCCGCTCGAGAGGACCGTGCCGAAGCCTAAGGCCCTACTGATTTTCGTGATCGGATTTTGGATACTCGATGTTGCAAACAACACCGTGCAGGTAACGATTTTTTTTATGTCTCTCGAAATATTATTGTGTTTTAAGTTGATGATCAACGAAGGTTTTAAGAAACGAGCTTTTTACCATTTGAAATTGGATTTCACTGGTCAGAATCCGGGTTTGGAAGGCATATTTAAATAATCATTTGAAATCGGATTTGGCCGATCAGAATCCGGTATGGAAGGCATTTCGAAAGGTCCGTATATACATCGAAAGTACATAAGGGTATTAAATTTCAATTAAATTGCAACTGATATTACATTGAGATTGCAATGGTTTAACTTACATTGGAAAATACCAAATGAATTATCTTTCGATTGACTTTTTTTTTCTCTCCACTTACTGTTGAATCACAAAATATAATAGAAAACTCATTCTAACAGAATTCTTTCATAGAAATTTTGGTTGGAATTCTATTACAATAGAAATAATAGCACTGAAATATCAATTGTAATTTTTGTTAGAATTCTATTGAATGCATTTCCATTAGAATTTCAAAAATTTATTTGTAGTGTCTTTTAAACGACAATTTGCTTTTCGCGGCAAAACGCTGTGTTGGGAATGCAGGGGCCGTGTAGGGCAATGCTAGCCGACTTGTCTAACGGTGAAGCTCGAAAAATAAGCACAGCCAATGCCCTCTTCTCGTTCTTCATGGCAGTTGGGAACGTGCTCGGGTACGCGGCCGGCTCCTACACTAAGTTGTACCGTATCTTCTCCTTCACGCGCACCACGGCTTGCGACGTTTACTGCGCTAACCTCAAAAGTTGCTTCATCATCTCGGCCACTCTCCTTCTTACACTGACGACCATTGCCCTCAGCATCGTGCGCGAAAAATCGGGCTCGGCAGCGGCCCGTAAAGCCTCAGCTGCAGCATCCGATGTAAAAGGTTTCCGTATGCTCGGTGCCCTCAAGGGCTTGCCGAGGTCCATGTGGCTTCTCATGCTTGTCACGTGCATCAACTGGGTCGCATGGTTTCCATTTCTTTTGTACGACACAGATTGGATGGGTCGGGAGGTTTACGGAGGTGCCGTGGGGGAGGAACTTTATGATCGTGGGGTCCGCGCCGGTGCTATGGGCCTCATGCTACAGGCAGTCGTGCTCGGGTTTTCGTCGTTGGGTGTGCAGGTAATGGCGACGGGGATAAAGCGTGTAAAGCAGCTTTGGGGAGCGGTCAACATTATTTTGGCAGTCGGGTTGGGGATGATGGTGCTCATCACCAAGTTAGCCAAGGAGGCGAGGGTTGCAGCTGGGGGAATGCTCGACGCTCCGCCAGCTGGCGTGAAAGACGGGGCGTTGGCCATATTTGCCGTGCTCGGAATTCCGTTGGCGGTGAACTTTAGTCTTCCGTTCGCCTTGGCGTCCATCTATTCGTCGAACTCAACAACCGCCGGACAAGGTAAATTCGAACCTGTAATGTTTGGGACGATTGGTGTTATTTGTGGCGCTGATTGTGTTGTTCGCCATAAGAAAATAGTGAAATTCCACCAAAAATATATTCCAAATTCCAATGGAATTTCAACAACAATTTCAATGTTATTATTTCCATTGGAATTTCTAATGGATTCCGACGAAATATTACAACGAAAATACTCCAACAAAAAATTTCGTCGGAAGGAGTTTCTTAATTGGAATTTTCATAAGATGTTGACGATTCCAATGATAAATTTTCGAACAATCGAATAATGGGTAGAAATAAACATTCCAACAAATATTGCATGTTTCAATACAAATTCCTACATGAAACTTCAACGGAAAAGTCACTCCAACAAGTTATCCATGGAAATTTTCATTTGATTATATTATTGTTGGATTTTCCATTGAAATATGACAATTTTTTTTGTAGTGGTTTTGACTCACATTTTTCGTGCGTTATAAATGGATTTTTTTTTTCTTTTTGACGAGGCAAAGTTGAAGGCCCGAAACATATGGTGACGATTGTTGTTCTTCATCTTGACTCACATTTTTTTTTTGCTCGTTATAAATGGAATTTTTTTTTTGTTCGATAGGTCTATCGCTTGGGCTCCTCAACCTCGCGATCGTCATTCCTCAAATGATAGTCTCGGTGTCGAGTGGGCCGTTGGATGAGGCATTTGGTGGCGGCAACCTTCCGGCATTTGTGATGGGAGCAGTGGCTGCCGTCATAAGCGCGGTTTTGGCCGTCACAGTACTGCCGACGACAACACCCTCAGGTGGGTCGGTCAACATTGTGGCTGCCGGTGGACATTGATGAACATCTTTTCTTTCTTTTTTTTTTTTTTTTTNNTTGTTAAAAAAAAAAAAAAATTAGAATTGAATTGTCTATTGGTATGGCTGCCGATGGACATTGCTCTTCCCTTACCCTTACGAGTATTTCCATGTTTCAGACTCTAGTAACTTTTAAATAATTTTTTTTGGGAGAAAAAAATGAAATTCCAACGGAAATATATTTTAATAAAATTATTCCAACGGTAAATTCAGTGAATATTTCAATGCTATTATTTCCGTTGAAATTTTTTAATGGGTTACAACGAAAATTCCAACAAAAATATTCTGTTGGAATAAGTTTCGTTGGACTTTAACGATTCAAACGGTAGATTTTGTAATGGGAGTGGAAATAAAAATTCCAACGAAAATTGCATATTCCAACGGAAATTCCTACGATAAAAAACCGTTGGAAATATAGCCGTTGAAATCATCAAATTCCATTTAAAATTCCAATGAAAAACACATTCCAACGGAAGCTACTATACCATTAAATTATCCGTTAAAATTTCTATTAGAATATATTACCATAGAAATCTCCGTTTAAATATAAAATTTTTTTTTTTTGTAGTGATTGTTATCAGTTGCTTAACATTAAAATGTTATATAATCATACAACATCACATAGTATCAATTACTGTCATACTTTATTGATGTTGTTTTTTAAACTCTTAATGTTGTGTGTTTTAACCTATGGCAATTGAGGATAAATTATATATATTTGTAAAAAAAAAATAAAAAATAAAAGTATGCCGGTCTAATGAATATGAAACTATGAATGAATAGCTATTGAGTAAAAGCAACTTGTATTAATTTATTCACCTTGTTCTACATCATTCAGAGCAACTAATTACAATAGCAAGTAACTACTAATTCCACACAAACTTCACCAAATTATCATTGCACAACATAACAAGTACCCAAAAGAGACTTGTTCAGGCAATCACGGAAAATCATACTTTCAAAACAGCATCACGCTTAGCGTGTACTAATAATAATAATAACAGTGCCTCCATATGTTTCATACATGAAATTATAAAAAAGAAAATTCTACATAAGACCACATATTCAATGGAATCCTCCGGCAGCCGTCACGATTTTCGCGTCGTTAGGCGGCGACGGAAGCACCGTGAGGGCGCAAATGCCGCTGGCGGCGGCTGCCACCGCACCCACCACGAATGCCGGCAAGTTTCCACCTCCGAATAGCTCGTCCCACGGCCCGCTAGCAACCGACACAAACATCTAAATTGAAAAAAAAAAAAAGAAAATTAGCAATAAAATAGAAGGGCAAAGAGATTCATGTCCATTCAGAACATCACTTTCTGACAACTTAAATTCTTTTCTTTTTCTCCCAGTTGCAAAAAGTGGAATTTTTTTCTGATAACTTTGGGCAATAATAGTCCTTTTTTGTTTCTATTCTTCCTTGTATTGAGTGTGAGATCAAAACACAAGATACCTTTATCTACAAGAAGGCATGAAAGTCAACTAAAAAAGGCACCACCACATATTATTTTTATTATTTTTTATTTATTTATTTTATTTTAATTTTTATTTTTTTTTGGCCAAAAGAAAACAACATTTCATTAATTATGGGCTAACATTGTAATGTACAGTTGATGAAGGGGCAGATGGGCCATATATTCATAAAATATTTACCTGTGGTATGACTATTGAAAGATTCAGAACTCCCAGAGAAAGACCTGGCAGAGATATATTTTTGTTCAGAAATAAATGAAATAAGATATAGACAAACATAATAATGTTAAAAAAATTATACTAACATTAAACATATCATATTGTCACAGTTTGATTTACCTTGTCCAGCCCCAGAATTACTGGAAAATATGGATGCCAAAGCAAATGGAACACTGAAAGTCACCTAAAACAATAAAAGAAAACAAAGTTGTCACACAACAGTTAAAATCTCGTTAAAAATATATGACGGGTCGACTCACATAATTACACTTAGACTGACTCACACAAAAATTCGTGATTACACGTCAACGTGTAAGATTATGCCGTGGGAAAATGCAGCACGAGGCATAATGGCGATGATTAAAGAAAAAAAAAAGGATGCAATTAAAAAATTTCACAAGAGAACCCCATTAAGTCAACAACTTTTCTTGTTAATCACTTAATCCTACACAGATTTGAGGAAAACCACATAAGCATGGCCCCAGTTTTAACTACTAACAACCCATTCAATATTAAGTAACATTGGAACAATCATTTCTTACAAGTGATATCAGCTGAATAAACCCAATTATCAAGTTCAAATATTAGTGCTTTATTCCACTCATTTGCTAATCTTTTTTTTTTTTTTTCAAAGTATTTTTAATGAAAAGTCAGACAATTCAAATAAACTGCCCCCATAACTAGAAGCAAACTTAAAAGGGCAGTTTTTTCTAATAGAAAAATCATATTTTGACAGGTGCCCACTAATTTTTTGTCAGATATGAGTCGAGTCGAGTCGAGTTGGTAATACTCGAACCTTTATCACCACTTCTTGAT